ATTTCAAACAAAAAAAAACCCCGAAACAATTGACTTTTTTAATCTTTGATCAAAGGTCTTTTCGCAATATATATGCWTAATTATTCATTAGTTGTACACCAATTTTAAATCGCATTTGTGATTTGGAAATTCCCCAAAGTTTTAACATATTAATATTTATTTTAATTAAAATTATTTTAAATACTTAGCTTTCATTAATTAAATGGATTTTACTGAAATGTTTCTTTATAGTCTGTATGACTAAACACTACTATCATTTATTTTCAAATGTGTTGTATATTTATACATACATTTTGGAGCAAAGAGTATAATATGATATAACCCCTGACTGTAAAACTKAGTAGTATTGGATGAAATAAAAGCGAAACGAAATTATTTCAGACGAGAATGTATATTTTGTAACTGCGGAAAACGAGTAGTAAATAAAAACCGTTGGCTGTAAATACATACTTACGCATATATATACCTACAGTTGAACAGGAACCAACGATGCTCTATATAGGTATACATAACACGGCCATCGGGTATTTTTCCGGAAACGGTTGTATTACCTGATACCCGATGCTYACGGTTTCGCCGCGGGAACCGTAAAAAAAAAACACAAACATTACATTATACTGTGCATTTAGAGTGATAAGAATTTTCTGATACGCTCATTTGTCTCATATAAAAATAAATCTCTGACGAATGAAATTCTAATTACATTATATATTGTGTAAATAATTACACGCTGACTACTATAATAGTCATAGGCGCAAATTAATAATGACGTTTGATATTTGGGAGGGGAGGCTGGTTCCCTACTATAATAACATCGAATGAGCAAAAAAAAAATTTAATATACATGTTTGGGGATCTTAGCTCCTAAAGCCCCTTTTCTACTATTACACTAGCTACTATACATTAATTTGCGATAAATATTACTACTCACCGACGATATCTAAGAAGCCCAGTTGGCTTTTCATCGGGTCCGTATTTATCTGACACATATACCATCCTTTATCGGACTCTCTCACTTCCTTGATGTGTATGTGCCACGTCCTGTGGTCTGAGTGTGACACTCCGATTCGGTGGTTTTTCGTGATCACATGGTTATGGATGGTTAGTATGGTCTGCGTATCCACCCGTAACCAAGCCACCTATATGAAATATATTTTCAAAAAGTTCTGTTAATGAGTGATGTTGTAAAAAAACAAAAAAAAACAAAATACGCGTCGAACGATCGGTTCGGAGAACTAAACAAAGAAAAATCTATTCCACACGACCGACGGCGTGATGGCGGTGGAGGTGGCATACGCGTGCTGGAGACATCCGATGTATACATATAATATAATATAATATCTACATATATAATAGGTATAGCTAGGGATAGTTGTCGGAGATATATCGCCTCCGTTTGGTGGCCCGGTGAATAATGCTTATGATGTACTCGTCCCCAACGAGGTTAACCGTCAGCCGAACATTATGCTCACAATAGGCTGTCCCTGATTAATAGCTRCGTATACCTGTGCTTAAGCGCACAACACTTGTTGTAGATCCGTCAAAGAAAGTCTATGGCGGTAAAACGGCGGTGGGTTTGCACGCGAATACAACCGCTGCAGCATCATCGGGGTGGCATTAGTGTGATTTATGTATATACGCGACACCACCACCGTGGTGGAGATGACTTTGATTCGTGACAAATCGCAAACGACCCTCGGGACTTATTATTATATTATACATATATAATACGTATATGTATACGCACACATACACATACATCTTATATTATATAAGAGCCCGACGATGATGACGGTGACTATCGAATGGATTGACGTGTATTATATACCACGGTTGCGGTCGTTCGTCTTTGCGAGATATGGTGTGACGGGTGGCTGCCAAGAATAATTATACGCCCGAAAGAAGGTCGTTTGCGTTTGTCAACCGGTTCCAGGTTTTCACCGGTAATATTGGTAAATCCGACGCAAATGTCAAAAGAATACGTAATAATAAGTTTACTTGCGGAAACACTACATAGGCACAAAATGTTATCAGTATTCATTGAATGCATTTATTAATATTTGTATTCAATTTCAAATTAAACAAATGAAAAAAGAGTATATTTTTAGTTATATCAAAGAATTCTTTTTTTAATTATGTCAATGTAAATGAAATTCTTATAATTTGATAAAAAATATTAAATGAGAATTTATTAGACTTGATTACTATAGGGTTTTAAGTGAAACTACTTTGTTGTGTGTACGACAAAAAAGATTATACCCCATTACGACACTATAATATGGTTTCTTTGGTACTTAATAAATAATAATCTTTGTCTTATGTTTCTATAAATGTTTAATAATAATAATAAAATAATTTTAATCGAACATTTAATTTTAATTTTTAATTTTATCGTGTCCCTACTGTTCTTGTAACATTGAGGTAGGTTCGAGTTATTAAACCAACGAGAGTGACCGACTACAGGCTGCCTCCCAACGTGCCATCCAGTCATTTTACGACATGATTGATAACATATTAAGCTGCAAGGT